GGGCTTTTGTGTAATGGTTGTGGGAGCCTATATAATCTCTACCTGAAGTTGCCTCGGGGTCAATTGCTCCACCAGACCTGCGTGTCTTGGAAGGATGGTCGGCCCCAGCTAGCTGGCCTAATAAAACTCTGCTTGATTTTTGCATCTCCATACTCGTGCATTTGTTCTCCAGAAGAGACCCACCGAGTCACGGTCCCTAACAATGCCTAAGCAAGAGCTACTTTGAACTGCAGATAAGCACAGTTTTCCTCCTCTAGTCTTTTAACAAAATGAATTAAACTGATTTTCTAATGGTCAAACATTGATGAGCCCCTACAAAATTCTACTTAGATATTTGAGTCTAAAATACTCCATTTGGAGCCAGATGTGGTAGCAAACAACTTTTAATCCCAGCACTTAGAAAGGAGAGGCAAGGGGATCAGAAGTCAAGGTCATCCTGAGCTACATAGTAAGTTTGAGGCCATCCTAGGGTACATGAGACTCTTTCAAAAATCAAATATAGGGGCTAGGGAGATGGCTCAGTTGGTAAAGTGCTTGTCAAGCAAGTATGAGAACCTGAGTTCAATCCCCAACACCCACATAAAAGCTGTGCGCAAAGGCCCATACCTATAATCCCAGCACTGAGGAGGCAGAAGCAGAGAGCTCCCTAGGGCTTTGCTGGCCCACCAGCCTAGCCAAATCTGTGAGCTGCAGGCTCAGTGAAGGATTCTATCTCAAAAACTAAGATGGAAAGCCATTGAGGAAAACAGCGAACAACTACTTTCTGCTTCCATACATAAAGTACATGCACCTGTACATACATACGCACACACACAAGTAAAAATAATGAAATTCTGAATTTGTTTGGTTGGAGCTATAGCTTAGTGGTAGGAATGCTTCCCTAGAATGCATGAGGCCACTGGTTCAATCCTTAACATTGCAAAAAATTTTAAAAGAAAACCGATTTGGTAAACATTTTATTAACTATGGTATTAACTAGCCTGTAAGTCTGCATTGATACTATCCTCACCTCAGTTTTGATACTCACTGTAGACCATATAATCTCATAGACTCATACGATGTCATTCCTTTTTTTTTTTTTTTTTAAACCTTGATCTTTTGATCAACTCACTGCTTCTGCCTCCTGAGTGCTGGGATTAAAGGCAACACCATACCTGGTCTTAGCTTTATTCTTTTAAATAAATAACTTTTATTATTTTTCTAGTATTCTGTGTGTCTCTATGTGTGGGTGTATACGACACTCATGCAAAGGTCAGAGCACACCCAGAGGGGTCGGTTCTCTCCTTCTACCACGTGGGTTCCAGCCATCAAATTCAGGCCATCAAGGTTGGTGGCAAGCACCCTGACCTGCCAAGTCATCTCACTGACCTTCAATTTCTTGTTAGATTCCCCCCTCCTTTTTTAAATTTTTATTTTATGTGTATGTGGGTACTGTCTGCATGTAGGTAAGTGCACCCGTGTTGTACAATGCCCACAGAGGACAGAAGAAGCTGTAGGATCTCCTGGAACTGTAGTTATAGACAGTTGTTAGCTGCCATGTGGGTGCTAGGATTCGAACCCAGGTCTGCTGCAAGAACAGCCAGTGTTCTTAACCGCTGAGCCATCTCTCCAGCCCCATTAGATCCCATTTCAATAATGCTTTTCAAAGTATTTCAACTATAGTTTCAAGTTCATAGACGTGTAGCTTTATTTTAGTGGGCTTGTCCATTTCATTTGTTTTTTTCAAACACTTAGGTTTGGATGAGCAGTTAAGACTGATAATAGAAAAATTATCACAGGGAATTAACAGTAATCAACATTCCAAACCAACTGCTTTTCCCCCTTTAGGTAGAAAGAGTTGCTAAAGGATAAGATACTCAGCACAACTTTTTTTAATCAATCACCCCATGTTAACTTTTAGCATCAAACCAGAAGCTAGGTATGGTAGTAAACTTTGTAATCCTAGCACTAGGGAGACTAAGGCAAGAAAAATGCCATGAGTTCAGTCAGCCTGAACTACCTAACCATGGCTACACAGAAAGAACCTGTCTTAAAAACAAAAATACAAAAAACCAAAACCATCAAAAATAACCAATCACAAAAACAAAATCCCCACAAGGTACTGGTTTATTATGAAAGGATTAATACCCAAATCTATGAAGTAAAAAGTTACTAAGTTTGGGCATACAATGGACAGAGTAAAAGACACACAGCAGCTCTGCAAGAAAGGTACCTGTAATAAGGAAGTTGCCATGTTCCTCCAAAGGTTCACTGTATTTTCGGACCACATGATTTAAACCAAGGTCTAACTCATAGAAAGTAAGCGTCTGCTGGGTATTAGCTGCTGCTTCCCCTGTGGGATCGTTGTCTGCTTCCTGTAGGAACACAGTAGCAGAGACTAAATCAGTGCCATAAAATCAAAGTTAAGTTCTAGACCTGGAAAGAACATCAGAACACTTCCATTTTTTTTTTTTTAAACAGACTTAATTCACTTTATTTTCCCATATAAAAGCCCTAGGCAGTAGCCACAGCTGGAGCCTGGGTTCTCTGCACAGACTCTGGTGTGGGTTTTCACTCTCAGGAATTCACCGATCATCTTGTGAGGACACTTCCATTTTACAAACAAGAAAACAGGTCCACAGATGCCATATAGTGTGACAAAGTTCATGCTACTATACGATGGCAGAACTATAACAAGGGTTCAAATCTGAATTTTGGCCAGTGATGCCCCTACTAGAGGCTTCCATTCAAAGCCGAGAAGTACGCTTCCCTTTACATTTCTCCCTTTACATTTCTCATGCAGCTTCTCCCAATAAATACCTCAAGTCCACAGAGCAATTGTAACCTATGAAACATTCTGAAGACTTTCAGTAAGGTAGAAAATATCTGCTAGTAAGAGTGATTTAACTCACATAATGGAGAAAATAATTTTTGGAAGAAACTGAGTTAACCAAAAAGGGTGGGGGGCTTGGTTCCCATTACCTCATAGTCCATTTCTAGACAAGCAAACATAGGGTTTTCAAACCCCACATCTACTCCAACCACATGATATACTAAAGTGTTCGCTTTGTGGGCCTCCAGGGGAGATGAAATTGTGAGTCGGGCTGCTGCATCTCTATTCAAGATATATACCAACTTCTGTTTCTCAATCGCACCTACAATTGAAAGAGATGAAACATACTAGATCTCCACATGATGAAGACAGTTAAACATACATCCTATTACTCTTTGAAAATAAGATTATTACTAACAATCACCATTAACTCTACAAGTATAGTACCTCAGGGCACTAACCTTTATTAAATTTTTAATGAGCTCTGGCCTGGTGTGGTGGGGCACGCCTTTAATCCCAGCACTTGGAAGGCAGAGGCAGGGGGAGGCAGGTCTACAGAGTGAGTTCCAGGCCAGCTGGGACTACAGGGAGACCCTGTCTCGAAAAGACCACAAAAATTATTTTTATTACCAAAACTATATTAACTTTATTCTTTGAATTAGATCCAATGATTTTGAAAAGTACTGAAAGGGTTGCCCTCTAGAGGCCTGATCAGACACACAGAACTTCCCTCAAGAATTTATCAGAGAAGAGACATGAATGTGAATCATCACTTCAGGCTGATGAAAGCAACCATATTGTACGGAGGGTCATTTCACTGTAGCCTTTGCTGCGGATAAAATAAGAAACTGAAAACAATTCTTTCCACCTAGATGAGAAGGTACCTCAGGACCTTTCTTACTGTTTTAAAAGAAAATGTTTTAAAAGTGGAAACCCAACTTTAAACTAGAGTAAATTCAACATAATGCCAAACTTCACTGTGTAAGTCAAACACTGGAATACTGCCAGGATCACAGCATTGTTACCCTACATGTGGGATTCACAGGAATCAGAGAAATACTCAAAGCAAATAAAGCAAGTCACTCACTGATCATAACAGCTCGCCCTTTGGGATCCACAGCTAAGAACTGGCCAGGAACGATACGACGGCATCCACTTTTGCCAAAAGTTTCTTGGTGAATTTTCTCAAACATATTCTTAGATGGCTGGTATTCCAAGATAACAATGCGTCCTGAGTCACTGCCAACTACAATGTAGTCTTTGGTGCCACCTGTTAGCCTAAAGGCCATGAGTGATCGAATAACACCAAATACTTCCACAGTGAGGAGGGTATGCACTTTGCCAGTGTTGGGGTCTGGGCGAAGTAACTCCAAGATCTTTCCACGGGAAACAACAATTTCCTGTTGTTTGGTTCCTAAATCACCAAAAAATAAAGATCACAAACAAAACTAATCCTAAAGGTAATCTGGATAGAAGTGATAGTGAAGATAATAGAAATTAAATAAATTGGGGTACATGTGTTTTGAATTAATTTATTCTATTTGAAAAGGTACTTTTCCAAGAACTGATCTAACAGTAGTTATCAGAAAAGATTTTTATAGGGTCATATAAGTTAATTTTTTAAAAACCTTATTTTTCAGGGCTGGAGAGATGGCTCAGCGGTTAAGAACACTGGTTGTTCCTGCAGAAGACCCGGGTTCAAATCCCAGCACCCATGTAACAGCTAACAACTGTCTGTAACTCCAATCCCAGGGGATCCAACAGCCTCTTCTGACCTCAGGCATTGCATGACACCACTGCACTTATCTCCACGCAGGCAATACACACATACACATAATACAAAATAAATAAATACAATTAAAAAACAACAACAACAACAACAACAAAAAAACCCTCATTTTCCACCAGGCATGGTGGCACACGCCTTTGGTCCCAGCACTCAAGAGGCAGGAGGATCTCTGTGAATTCAAGGCCAGCCTGGTCTACACAGTGAGTTCCAGGAAAAAAAAAAAAGCACCTTATTTTCCTAAGATATGCCATCAATATGCACAACTGGGAACTATCTGTTACTGATAATGAGGCCCTACAGTACCCATGGGAAACTGGTTTCAGGAACTGAGCCCCTCAGATAACAAAATCCACAAATGTCAAGTCCCTTACATAAAATACAGTGTGTGCATACAACCTACGGGTATGCTACCCTACACTTTAAATCATTTAGTGCCAGTCATTGTGGTACATGAGTGGAGTGACAGCTACTCCAGAGGCTAACGCAGTATTAACTGAGTCTAGGAGTTCAAGGTCAGTTTGAGCAACACGGCAAGACATTTCTGTCTCCTGCCCCACCAATTTGCTCCTAGCCAAGACTCAAACTCACAATACTCGTTCTTCAGCCTCCAGAGTGCTAAGATTACAGACATGTGCTACCATGCTCAAATGAGATCCTATCCTTTAAAAAAATTTTAACTAGCTCTAGATTACTTATAATAACTAACAATAATGTAAATGCTATGGCTATACAATATTGTTTAGAAAAATGTCTATATAGCTTAAGTACATTTAAAAATGTTCTGAATATTTTCCATTTTTTAAAGATTTATATTTTTCTTTTTTATTATTTTATGGGCATAGGTGTCTTGCCTGCATGTGCATTAAGTGCACCTGTGTTGCACAGTGCTTTTGGAGGTCAGAAGTGGGCACTGGATTCCCCTGGAACTGGAGTTATGGATGGTTGTTAGCTGCCATGTGGGTGCTGAGAATCGAACCTGGGTCCTCTTCAAGAGCAGCCAGTGTTCTTAACCACTGAACCACCTCTCCGGCTCCTTATTTTTATCATTTTTAATTAAGTTTATGTGTGTGGGTTTGTATATAGGAAGGAGTACAGTTACCTAAGAAAACCAGACAGATCGGCTCCCCAAGAGCTAGAATTGTAAGCAGCTGTTGAGTTGTGTGTGTGAGTTCTAGGAATTAAACTAGGTCCTCTGCAAGAGCAGCAAGTGCTCGTAAGCACTAAGCCATCTCTCCACCCTCAATTTTCTTATTTGAAATACCTCTATATAAAAAGAATATTGGTAGCTAGGCATGGTGGCTCATGTCTTTAAACACTTAAGAGGCACAGGCAGGCAGATCTCTGTGAGGTCTCATCTACATTCATGGATTCAGGAAATGCAAAATTCACACGTAATGAGACAACTGTGTAACATTTAGAAACTTCCTAATTGCAAAACATCCCAAAATCTCTCTTTCCAGTCCACCCTGAAAGCTAATGGTCTAAGTCATTATAGTAAGTTTCTGTACAGTTTAATGCAATGTCTCAAAAACTTTTATAGCTGTTGTCTTATACATACTTTGCTACTGCTAAACCCATTAGAAAGTTCATTTATGAGCTAGATATGGTAGAACATGCCTGTAAATCCCAGCACTATGGAGGTAGGAGGATCAGAATTTCAAGACCACCCTTAGTACCGCCCTGGGCTACCTGAGACCCTGTCTTGAAAAAAAAATTTTTGTCTTCATTTTTAAGTGAAATCAAACTGGGCATGGTAACTCACACCTGAAAGCTGAGCCAGGAAGACTGCTAAAAATTAAAATCAAAGCCAGTCTGGACTACAACAGAGTAAGGCTTTTTTTTTTTTTTTTTTCCTGAGAGACAAGGTCTTACTATGTAGCCTGGCTACCCTCAAATTCAATGTATAGATGATGACCTTGAACTCCCAATCTTCCTGCCTCTACTTCCCAAGTGGTAGGATTACAAATCCAAGCCACACCAGCAAGTTATTTTCTGCTACAGTTTCTGATTTGTATGTGTGCATTTGTGTATGATATATGCGTGTATGTTTGTATGCGAGTATGATGTACACTTGCCACAAGAGGTGCATGTGTGGAGGTCAGAAGAGTGAAGTGTTGGCCACTGCCTTCCACCTTGTTTCAGTCTCCTGTCGCTGTATACACTGGCTTACAATGCACTACTACATCTAGTTATATGTAGGTTCTGTGAGCCAAATTCAGGTGCTCACGCTTGTAAAGCAAGCACGTGCTTACTGAGCCATCTCCCCAGATTGTCTAGTTTTTTTCAGACAAGGCCTCACTATGTAGCCTTGGCTGGTCTGGAACTCACTACGTAGACCTGGCTACCTCAAACTCAGAGAGCTCTGGCTGCCTCTGCCTCCCAAGCACTGGCATTAGAGGTGTGTGCTACCAAGCTAGACCCCTTCTCTGGCTTTTTTACGTAAGTTCTAGGGATCAAGCTTAGGTCTATATGCTTGCACTCAAGTATCTTTCCAGCCCAGTTTTGATATTTTTAATTTTTATTTTATTTGTGCGTATGTATATGTGTGTGCATGCGAGTGCGTGTGAGTAAAAGTGCATGTCTGCACATATGCCACGGCACATATATGATGACTAGAGGAGAACTTTCAAAAGTCAGTTTTCTCCTTACATGGGTTCTAGGGCCCAAACTCTGGTTGTCAGGCTTAAGCAACAAGTTTATTTGTCTCAAAAGCTATCTCACCAGTTAGAATTCTAACCATGTATCTTAGGCTGGCCTCAAATCTACTATGTAGCTCCTGTTAGCCTTAAAGTCATGAGCCTACTGTCTCAGCCTCCAATACTGAGATTACACATATGAGCTACCACACATTGTTAAGACATTCTTTTTATAAATTTGGTGACAAACGCATGATCAAGAATCATGATTTCAGGCAGGTTTTGGTGGGGCACATGGGTAACCCCAGCACTAGCAGGCTGAGACAGCAGCCCTGAGTTTGAGGCTAGCTTAAAGTGAGACTGTCTCAAAAAAAAAAGAGTGAGGATGGTGGCATACACCTTTAATCCCAGCACTTGGGAGGCAGAGGCAGGCAGAGGCCAAGCTAGTCTACATAGTGAGTTCCAGGCCAGCTGGAGCTACAGGAAGACCCTGTCTCCAAAAAACAAATAAAAAACCATGACTTATACATCTTGTTATGTCCCATCTGGGAGGAGATATGCACCTATGAGGAGAATTATTCAAAGAAATGCACTTGAAATCAGGTAACACTTAATACACCTTAATTTAACACGAATCTCACAGAATACAAACCACATTTGAATTGTTCTTATTTATCAGCAATTCTTTTCTTGTAAATGAAAAGCATTTCCCTGAACAAGAGATAAGTAAAATATATACTGACTCATTTCAATCCACAAAGATAATAAAGAACTTACCCGAGAAGTTGCCATGGATGGCAAAGCTGATGCCAGTGGCACGCTGCAAGGTCAAGTTGTACAGGAACATGGTAGCAGCAAAAGTGAGATCCCCAGGACTCCAGGCCTTGGTTATACCAACAGTATCAAGTCAAAGTGGGCTAAGAACACATTAAAAAAAAAAAAAAGGTAACTGGGAAATCCTTTTTGCTTTTTAAAGATGTATTTATTTTTATTATTTTTTGGGGGAGGGGTCTTTTTGAGGCAGGGTCTCCCTGTAGCCCCAACTGGCCTGGAACTCACTATGTAGACCAGGCTGGTCTTGAACTCACAGAGATCTGCCTGCCCCTGCCTCTGGAGTGCTGGGATTAAAGGCGTGTGCCACCACACCCAGTATACAAGTATTTTGCCTGCATGCCTGACTAGTGCCTGCAGAGGCCAGAAGAGGGTGTCATATCCCCTGGAACTGAAGTTACAGACAGTTGGGGGCTCCCATGTGGATGCTAGAAACTAGAACTGGGCTTTCTACAAAAGCAGCAGTACTCTTTTTTTCTTTTTTAAACTTTTTAAGAATTTCATTTATTATTTTTATTTTATGTGTATGCACGTATCACCTGCATGTAGGTAAGTGCAATGCCTGCGGAGCTCAGAAGAGGCTGTCGGATCCCCTGGGACTGGAGTTACAGACAGTTGTTCGCTGCCATGTGGGTGCTGGGATTCAAACCGGGGTCTTCTGTAAGAACAACCAGTGTTCTTAACAGCTGAGCCATCTCTCTAGCCCTGCAGCAGTACTCTTATTCACTGAGCCACAGAAATTTTCTCCAGCCCTCAATAGGATAAACCACAATATCCTATCTCAAGAAAAGGAAAAGGACAAGGAAAAAAAAAAAAAAAAAAAAGAAAAAGCGAGGCATGGTGGCTCATTCCTAAAGTCCCAGAATTGGAAAGGCAGAGGGAGGAGGATCACTGCAAGTCTGAAACCAGCTTGAGCTACACAGTCAGTTCCAGGCTGGACTACAAAGATCCTGTATCAAGGAAGAAATAAAAGAATCCTATGTAGTATGCATTTTCATACTCTTTTTATAGTTAAGGACAATGAAGCTCAGAAATTAGATCACCTGCCTAATATTATAGCAAGTGGTGAAATGACCGGGGCTAGGATTTGCTCATTAATACAACGTGCCAATTTATCATTTTTGATAAACTAAGATCTATTTAAGTGTAGTTAATTAACTGTACACATTTCACATCATTCAAAATTCAAAACCAGGGCTGGGCATAGTGGCACACACCTTTAATCAAAGCAACTCTATGGGCAAGAGGCAAAGGCAGGCAATCTCTATGATGTGAGTTTGAGGCCAGTTTGGTCTACATAGTAAGTTCCAGGCCAGGCAGGACTACACAGTGAGACAGTCTCAAAAAATAAATAAGTCCAAAAGCCTAGCAAAAAACCCTTCATGTCCATTTCCCAGCTCTCTCTAGAAGAATAAACTTACCAAATTTTATCTTATCATATGTGTACATACATTTATACCATATTTTATGTTCTCTCTTTAACCAAAGGACTGGTACTATATATACTCACAGTGAACTGCAACTTTCCTATTAGTTACTGTGATACCACTAGACAAAGGCTTTCTCATTTTTGTTTTTTGGGTTTTTTTTTTTTTTTTTTTTTTTTTTTGAGATGAGGTCTCCCCATAGTTCTAGCTGGCCTGGAACTTACTATGTAGATCAGGCCTCAGTGATCCGCCTGCCTCTGCCTCTGCCTCCCCAGTGCTGGGACTAAAAGCAAGTGCCACCACTCCCAGCTGTCATTTTTCTTTTACAACTGCAGAGTATCTTTTTTTTTTTCCATTACAATAGCATTGACATATTCAATAACAATTTCTAGAGCTACAATGCATCTCTTTCAAAATTGGCTGTAAATTTTTAGGTTTACAGCCTGGATTCACTATGGCGACCAGGCTGGCCTTGAACTCACAGAGATCCACACACCTGACTCCCGCGTGCTGGGGTTAAAGGCGTGCGCCACCACACCCAACCTCACTTTTTAAACCTCATATCTTTTCCCATTCTCATTAATCTACTCATAACACTTGACATTCCCCCAAGGGACTAGGGGTGGAGCTGAGTTTATAATCAAATCAGGAATCTCAGGGTTTAATCCCCAGAGATATTGAGGTTATACAATATTGTACTCAGTATAAACCCTGTAAGACATAAAATTAAATGAGGTTTTAACCTTTAAAAAAGATCTCCATTTCATTATTAAAATACACAGTTTCATTTCTAATCTCTATACACCTGATTATTACTAGTCAGAGTCAGTTACTTTCTGAGCTCCTTGGCATCTGAGCATGCATATAAAGTCATGAGGTAGATTTCAATGGTAACGTTTTTCACATCTACTAATTATTAAGGAGCAAGTTTTTATGCTTTGAAGAATTATTTAAAAAAAATTTTTTAGAATCTAATAACCACATTTGAAGAAGCATTTCATTACAGCTTTAACATACTCAGTAACACACTCCAGAACAAGGATACATCTCTTTCAAAAGTGGCTGTAAGTTTTTAGGTTTACAGTTGAATTAATACAGTTATACAATACTGAACTCAGTATAAACCCTGTAAGCTATAAAATTGAATGAGTTTTTACCCTTTAAAGAAGATCTCCATTTCATTTTAAAATACGCTGTTTCCAACAACTGCAGAGTATCTTAATTCAATGGCTATATTACAATTTATTTAGCTAGGAATACTAATGAATACTCAGATCATTTCCAATTTAGACTGTTACTACTGCAAAGGAAGTATCATATATATCATTCATTTATAGGTGCATGAATGTATCTCCAAGATTAGCTTAGACATGGAATTGGAAGACTGAAGGATTTAAACATATTAAATTTGGTATTTGCAAATTGCCCTTCAGAGGCCTTACCAATTTAGGTAACAGGCAATGTCTGAGTTCCTGTTGGCCCATAACCAGTCAAAGTGATGTTAAGACTTTTTGACATTTGCTAATTTAACAGGTGAAAATCTGGTATTTTACTCTGGTTTTCATTTGCACCTCATACTGCTCTATATTTAAAGAGATCTTTTTGTTTGTGGTTATGGGAACCGAACCCAGGGCCTCACCCAAAAGCTCTACCACTGAGCTACACTTCAGGCTGATGATTTTAAAACTGAAACCTGCTCACCATTAAACACTAAAACTCAACTTACATTCCATTCAATACTTGGGAAAGCTTTTACCTCCTCACCCACCCATTAACTGCGATTACTGCAAGACGCCTGGGCGATTTCTCAGTGTCCTTTCTCTATGTTCTAAGGGAAAACACCACTGCACTCAAATTCTGCAAAACTCTCAACGTAGGCATCACCATCCTTCATTTTGTATAGGAAAAAAACAGGTTTAGAGGACAAAACAAAATGCCGAACTACCAAAGCACAAATTCAAACCAGAATCCTGGCTCCAAAAGCTGTTTCTCTTATTTACCTTTCAAACAATGTCTCTCCCCCTTCTCGGGAGGAAACCCCCTCACCCCCAGGATATAACCTAAATTGGCATCCGCCTCCCTACCCTCCACCCTCAACCTCCGCTCGTGCTGAAGACTCAGCACGCGCCACCACGCCAGGCTTGCAAGCCTTACTTGGCGGGCAGAAGTAGGGAAAGAGCCCGGAAGCCACTTGCACACCCCCGCGTCCCGTGCATCCCCCGCCTGTCGAACCACTCGGGCCTAAAACTGCCCGAGACTCCCACCAAAGTGCCTGGTACCTTCCCCGCGCGGCCACTTTCCACCTCCTCGGGCCCGGCAAGCTGCGAGGCCACGTCTTTACCCTGCAGCAGGAAGGATGGCGTTGGTATCCAACGGATAGTGAATTCCTTCAAGGACTAAGCCACCAACGCCAAGCCGCGGGCGTCCGCCATTAGCCCTTAAGACGGGGGGCCCTTCTGATGGCGCGCATAGAAAGAGGTACCCAACCTGCGCCTGAAGAATATGTGTAATTTTAAAAATGCTTCCTTCTACCTATACAGCATTTAAATTATTTAAATATTACAGTAGCTTTTTTCTAGAATAGAAAATTACGTTTTAAAAAAATTGTTTTTCTAATTAATTGATCGGGCATTTTTGTGGACAGCCTCAAGGGCCGCGACGCCAACGCGGAGGGGGACCTCGCGGAAACGGAAGCACCAGATGGGGGCCCAAGATGGCGGAAGTGGACGTCCCTTCGAAGTTGTCAGGAGTTCCTCCGCCGTCGGAGGTGGTGGGAGGAGGTTGCCGCTCGGAAATCTCCACCGAGCTTATTTGCTCCCTGACAGAACTGCAGGAGCTGGAAGCTGTGTACGAAAGGCTCTGCGGCGAGGAGGTGGGGAGCCTAGCCTGCTCTTTTTCCAGGAGGGGCACAGGGCATTGGAGGCGTCAGTCTTGGGAAACTGGGCGGTGGCAAGCTGTCTCACTATCCGGGGAAACAAAAACGCAGCTAGCCGAGACGCGGTAGTGTAGCTGGGTGTTTAGAGACACCTGTCAACTCTATTCACTCAAGCTTGTTTACTCAGATGCCTGAAGGATCTGCAATCCCTACTCTTCCCCCCCCCCGCCCCCGTTGCTTTCCTTGGCCAATAAGTTAGAATGAAAGTATGTGGCAAACCGATTTTCAGCGTAAGAATTGCATTGACTTGGGAATGAAACAGCTCCTTCTCATTAAGAGGGAGGTTGCAAATTGACTTCAAGTTTTCATTGTAAGGGATGGTTTCTGAGTGTAATTTTAGCATTTCAGTTAAATGCAGAAATTGGCGTTTAAGTTTTTTTTTTTTTTTTTTTTTTTTACTTCTTTTTGAGACAGGGTCTCATTGTATAGCCCTAAGTCGATTGCCAGCCCGTCATTGCCTCCCAAGTGTTGGGGTTGAAGGCTCGTGCCACCAAAGCCCAGCTCAACTTTTTTTTTTTTTTTTGAGACGCGCTCTCTGCTGCCTACACTGTCCTCAAATTTGCTATCCTTCTGGGCATTCTCCCAAATAGCTGGGATTGAAAGCACACATCACTGCACCCTGCTTGGAGTTTGAACTTTTAAGACTGAAGCACAACTGTCTAGTCTTGATGGCTCATCTTTTGTACCTCTGATGTATTGTCAAGTAAATGATGTGGACATAATTCTGATTCCTTTCAACTGATACCATGGTATCTCCTTTTACTTCCTTTACTTTTCTGGGGCGACCTGGTACCCAATGGGGTTGGGTTGCTAGCTAGTCAGAAGGACTAGCACTTTTAATGGGATGGAGAGATGATTACTGATATTTTGAATATTTTCAAATATTACCTTGCATCAACTAGCAATTTCTTTTCTTTCTTTTTTTCGGGGGGAGGGGGGTTCTTTTTGAGACAGTGTCTTCCTGAAGCCCCAGCTGACCTGGAACTCACTATGTAGACCAAGCTGGCCTGGAACTCACAGAGATCTGCCTGCCTCAGCATGTGCCACCATGCCTGGCCTTCAGTAGCAAGTTCTAATACTTTCTCAGCAAGAAGTGTTTTCACTTAACATTTCTAACTTTATATTCTCTGAGTCAGTCAATACTTTCAGTAAAAAAAAATTTGAGGTCTTACATATGTACTACTGTTGGCTCTGTGTTTGTATTTGATGACTGTCAAAGGAAATTTTCCTCTGCATCCTCCTGGACTATCTTAATGAAAATATGTAGCTAATATTGAACTGTATGCTACATACATTTTTTTAAAGATTTTTTTTAATCTTTATATGTATGGGTGTTTTGCTTGCATGTTTGTGTCTGTACCATATACATGCCTGGTGCCTTACAGGCCAGAAGAGGGCTTTGGATCCCATGAAAGTAGAGTTGCAGACCATTGTGAACTGATGTGTGTGTGCTAGGAATCAAACCTGGGTCTTCTGCAAGAGCAGCAAGTGTTCTTAACTGCTGCTCTTAACTGGAGCCATCTCTTCAGCCCTCCTACATATACTTTTCAAAATACTTTCATTATTCTGTTTCATTTGCTATGCCTATCTTTTTTTTAAATTATGTGTATAACTGTGTGAGAGGCCAGAGGTGTTGGATCCCCTGGAACTGGAGTTACAGGTGGTTGTGAGCGGCCTGATCTGGGTGCTGAGAACCAAATTCATGTCCTCCGAAGAGCAGTATGCACTCTTAACTGCTCTGCCATCTCTCGAGCCCCACTGGCCCTATCTTATGAAGGTGAGGAAATAAAAGCAGAGCCACATGTGATGCACACATGTAATCCCAGCACTCAGAAGGCTAGGGCAGGAGCATCTCAAGTTCAAGACTAACCTGGCTTACCTACCGAGAGAGACTTTGTCTCAAGAAAAAGAAAGAGAGAGAGAGAGAGAGGGGAAGGAAGGAAGGAAAGAAAGGAAAGAGAGGAAAAAAAACCCCTAAAACATGAGTACGTAAATTGAGCCAGGTATGGTGGTGCATGCCTTTAATCCCAGCGCTGGGGAGGCAGGCGGAAGGCCAGCCTGATCTACATAGTGAGTTCCAGGACAGCTGGAGCTGCAGGGAGACCCTGTCTCAAAAAGACCAAAAAAGAAAAAAAAGAGTTCACAAATTGAGGTAGCATAATAAATGGCCATACTGAGAAGTATAATTATCCTCTCATTAAGTATTAAGGAAGAAAGGATTTTTTTTTTATGATGGCCACCTTGTTTAGTTTACTTAATTTTGTTTCTTTTCTTTCTTAAATTTATTTTTAATTACTTTTATGAGTTTGAGTGTTTTACCTGCATGTATGTAAATGCACCCATGTCATACAGTGCCCACAGAAGCCAGAAGAGGGCTTCAGATCCCCTAAAACTGGAGTTCAGATGGTTGTTAGCTACCATGTTGAGTCAGGAACTGAAACTGGGTCCTCTGTAAGAACAGCCAGTAGACTTAACCACTGAGCCATCTATCTCCAGCCACTTTCTATAATTTATATGTGTGTGTATGTGTGTAAGATCTAGGGTGCCATAGCACAAGTGTGGCAGTCAGAGGACAACTTGCACTGTATGGCTGCTGAGGATCAATCTCCTGTCATCAAGCTTGGTAGCAGCCCCTTTACCTACTGAGCCATCTCACCAGTCCTTGTTTTGTTTTTGAAACAGAGTTTCATGTAACTCAGGTGGGCCTCAACCTGGCTATGTAGCCAAGATGGCCTTGAACTCCTGATCTTCCTATCTCCTGAGTTGGGAAAACAAGAATGCATTATTACACCCGACTTAGCCACTAGATTTTAAAGCCTATCTGTGTGAAGCACTGTATGGTATTGAATAAAACTATTTGTTCCCAGGCTGGAGAGATGGCTCACCGGTTAAGAACACTTGCTGCTTTTTCAGAGGACCCCAGTTCAGGTCCTAGCACACACATCAGTGACTGACAACTACCTGTAACTCCAGCTTCAGGGGATCTGATACCCTCTTCTGGCCTCCTCAGGTATCTGCACATATATAGCATATACTCAAATAGACATACACATAAATAAAAATATTTAAAAGGACCACTGAAACAACTTGGTGATAAAGGCACTTGCCACCAAACCCAACAACCTGAATTTGA